GCTCATAGCTAAGTCATTTTTAACCAGAGAAAAACGGTTTTGCACAAAAGACATAGTCCTTTTATATATATATGTGCTTTGGGGTAATTCCGGTCACTTCGTTCAAATTGCACGGTATAGACGGAAATCTGTTTCCATCGACTTCCGGAAGCGCATTTGTGCACTAGACCCAGTGATAAAGTTATACAAAATACTTTAATCTATCATACGATGTGAAACTTGGGGAAAAAGAGATTTTCTTGAACGCATTCTATGCTTGGAAAGAATTTTAGCGATATTTCACAAATATTGATCTTATAATCAACTTAGAAGGTTAACTAACAATGACATCAAGAAAAAGTTGAACTATACATACACAGCAGACTATGCTCTTCATGGTGCACCAAAATCTTTTCAAAAGCAATCGTTTTAGTGTATCATTATTAGACTTCTTTCATAACGGGTGGTTCACATTGAATCGGACAAGATCATTTTCTTTCTTTTGGGCTACTTAAATACACTTCCAGAACTTCGTTTTATGCTCATTCGATAGAGAATTGAATTCTCTACAAAACCTGCTATGTCAATCTCTGATAGCATTTTTCTTGTTTGAGGTGCTGAGTTGTCGGACTGCGACACACCGAAAATAGAAAAATATTTGCTTTGATCCGAAAACAGATTCCAGAAGAATTTTGAAAACATCAGAAGATTCATCGGAAAAATCTGCATCTCACATATTTTTCAAAAATGCTATCAGAGATTGACATAGCAGGTTTCTCTATCGAATGAGCATAAAACGAAGTTCTGGAAGTGTATTTAAGTAGCCCAAAAGAAAAAATGATCTTGTCCCATTTAAAGTGAGCCACCCGTTATGAAAGAAGTCTAATAGAGTCAGATCTATCTATTTGTGCAAAACCGTTTTTCTCTGGTTAAAAATGACTTAGCTATGAGCAAAATACTGAAAAGATTTTTGACATTGACCGGAATTACCCCGAGGTACTCTAGTTTCTTTTCGTTAAGAGATCATTCTGACCTTGAGTGTGGTCAATATTTCTCTTGGTCTCCTCTCTCTTTGTGTTCTCCACACAAAAACGTCTATCCCTGCAGTGAATGCAGGTAAAATCTTCTCCCCTGCAGGGAGTGCAGGCAGGAAAACATTCTTCTTTATCTACCGGCCGTCAGTGGAAAATTTTTTCATTCACCTGCAAACTGCAACCTGCCTGCAAGCTGCAGGCAGTGCAGGCAGTTTAACATGCAGGTGATCAGCTCTGTTTCAAATAAAGATAGTTTAGACCAACTAAAAGTTGTTCCAAGCATCGTAGCAGATATTTCGTATGGCGATCTATCAAAAAAATAAGGTAATATAAATTATTATTATAGGAAACTTAATTAACATTTGTTTTGCACCGTCGATATTTAATAGAAAAAGATGATTCGAAGCTATTGGCTAATTATTGGCTATTTTTAAAATTGGAACGAAGATTAAGAGTTATATAAAAAGAGAAGGTATTAAAGAATGAAGCCAGTAGCTAGGGTAAAAGCTTTGTACTCTGTTCTATTAAATTGCGCAATTAGATGAATTAAACAGCCTTTTCAGAGAAAGAAAAGATAATGTCTTAAAAACACTTCCCTAGAAGTAACAAACTACACAGCTTTTATCCTAGCTACTGACTTCATTCTTTATATGTAGTCAACACCTTTTTTTATATAATAACCCTTCCATTCAAAATTTCAAAACAATAGTTCTGGTTCAGCTTACAGACAGGTCTTCTTTTATTCCTTATTCTGCGAGAAAAATGAATTCATCACTGTATCGTTTCATGTATTTCTGGTTCAGTGTTATAACATTATGCGTTCGATTGAACGAATTAATTTCATTGATTTCGATTAAGAATATTGCAACCTGATGTATTTCACCCTTTTTTGCATTATAAATATCCAATGATGATGCTGTTGTTCCACTAAGTAAATATCCTGATTTATTCATTATACATTTCAATGATACATCTTCCCTATTATCTTCGCTATATCTAGATAAAACGAATATATTTGGAATAGGTAGCAAATTTACTCATGGTAATATGATGGAATAAAATGACTGAAGTTCATTTGTTATTGATGATGTTCTATTCGTCTAGCTTGGCGTATATTCACTCTTATGACATTGAATTCGAGGTTAATATTGAAACATCTACTTGATCGTGATTGTAGCTAGCGTATGGAACGTATATCTCAATTTAAACCTGAAATAGCGCGTGTATTATTGCACAGACCTGTGTCTCTTGCTTGTGCAAAACATGTACATGTTGATCATTCATCAGATGAATCTGATAATGAAACCAATGATATCAATGATAATTTATCACTAGCAAAGAAACCAATACTTGAATCAAAACTAGGTGTATCACATACCTTGAGATATGATGGATACGAACATTGACTATATTTCAACCTGTTAAATATAATTTGCGTCATAAGAATGAAAGATGTAAACAGCGAACAAAATGGTTTTGTTCAGTCTTATGTGTACATCATGTGCATAATTGTTTTAAAGCCTACTATATCAAAAGTTAAATTAGTTTTAATTAATGAATTTTCAATCACACAGTATTATTGCTGATGTGTGAATTATGCACAAAACACCAAAGAAGTTTAATGGGAGTTAGGATAAGAGTTCCTTTTTGTGGGCAAAATGTGTCTTTTCAAAAAAAGTAAATTTGTCGTGTATTTAGCCTGTCTGTGGCTGCATAACAAAGAATACAAGAAGATAGATTGCATTTTTCTGGAACTACTAAGCTGTCTGAAAGACAAAAAAATTGAGTTTTTTCAACCTATTTCTCCCGATGGTCGCCACATGCATATGATTCACACATCAGCAATAATACTGTGTGATTGAAAATTCATTA